TCATCATCATCAAACAGGAGGAATCCTGCCAGTGCCAGTGTGCCTGCAGGGACTCTGCTAAAGAGAAGAGTTCAAAGAGTGCCTCCTCCAGTGTTTCAGCCCCAGCACAGCAGCAACCGTCAGAGCCCCCTCCTCCCCCACCACCACAGCCCCCAGAGCCTCCACAACATCCAGCCGCCTCATCTTCCTCATGCAGCCTCCCCGAGTCTTCCTCCAAGGTGGGTGAGGTGAGGCTGGAGGCCCCCTCTTCTTCTTCTTCTTCCTCCTCCTCGGCTCAGACTTTCTCCACGATAGTGAGCAGCACTGCCACCAACCCTCCCTCATCTGACGGGTTAGCCAATATGGACGTCTCGGAATTCCTCTCCCTGCAGAGCCCTGAGACGGCTGCCAACATTGAGGCTCTGCTTCTGGTCGCCGATGACTTTAACATGGCCACTGATGGCAACTCTTAGAAGAGCTGCCTTTGAGTCTGGCACCATGTGTTTGTCTGTTGCACCCACTCATCCAAAGGCATCATTTCCACCCACATCTCGAGTCATTCTCCACAGCGGCGCCTCTTCTTTCTCCCTATATAGTGTGTGTATCGAAGCCCCTGTACCTGCAGTGGATTCTGTTCTGTATGGCATTGCGCAACATATACACGAACTATGAATTATTCTTTTTTTGCTGTCTCATTGCAGTAGTTGAGTTTTTAAAAACAGGATTAGTTTGCTTATTGAGATTTAGCAACGTTAATGCTATTTAATGCAGGGAAAAGGCAGTAGATCCTTTGTTGTAAACTTAATCAAACTGTATATAATAACCCTCGATATCCACTCTGAATTGATCGGATGAAACAAATGAGTGTCGTTGAAGCACTGATAACTTAAGAGTTCCGTTTTCCTGGATTAAGGTCACACACCCGCGCAGGAAAACAAAACGTGTCGGTATATCCTTGTACTGTACTACAGGTCCTAACAAATGCTTAAAAGCTGGTATGCAACTGACCAGAATGCACTGTATATTAGAGGAATTTGCTACAATTTTAACAAGCATTGCTCCCAGCTAGAATTTGAAGGGGTTGGCCACATAGCCCCTCATATGGCTGTCACACAATATGAAGTGATTTCCTCAGTATTTTTGTTTCCTAGGAAGACTATTGTAGTCCAGAAAATGTGATGTGATTATTTTCTACTTCTTTTGACAGTTATTTACTAATTGAAACAAAAAGAACCTGTGACCAGATATGCCTGTCTTTTTAAGTGAAATTAAGTCAATACATCAATAAGTTGCCTATAACTTAAACTAATTTAAAATTGTACATCTTAATTTATTTTAATGCTTGATTCTTTCGTTATACTGGTAATATTATCTTTAAGATAGCAGAGAAATCTATTAATTTATTCCAATCACTTGTTGTATTTTTAAGTTGAGCTGTTTTTATGTTACTGAATTGCTTTTTTTCTTTCATTTTTTTTTATTAAGAACGTAATGGGTATTGCTAAAAGCAAGTTTGAGGAAAGAGGCACCTATAGTAGACTGCACAGTGAAGCGAATTATCCTCAAGGATCTGCTTGTTTGCAAAAATTTGTCCACAATGAAACAGAAAGGAACTACTGTCAACATCCCATGTTTTATAGGGTTGTGACCCTCTCAGGGATGCATCAAGTCATAACTGATCCTGGTTCCCTTAATTTGTTACTTTAGACAAAGGTTTTCTCACCAGATGCCCCACACTTGCAGTAGCCCTACGTTTTGCTGCACTCTTCCCTGTTTATTGCACACTAACCTGTAAAGTGAGTAACCTGACAGCTTGTTAGCTGAAGTGCAGCACCACTACAGACTTTTGTATTCAACTGCTGTAAAGTAGCATTTAAAAAAAGATGGTGTCCTGGTGACAGTGTAAATACAGTACATTTTAGTGTAAACATCTTTGAGAAACTTGTAGATTATTCTAGAATTTGTATTTTTGTATAGACTTTTGAATTACTAACTCAGAGTTTGGAGCTAATGTATCCCTGGCATTCTTCCCCCAGTCACATTTATGCAGAAGAGTTTTTGCTGTGTTGAGTTGAATAGTTCTACTAGCAGCTGGGCTTTTGTACAGTCCCCATAGTAACAAAATATATGTAACACATAGGCTCCTCCTCAGAGTATAATTTAACAGTATTGTTTCACATATGGGACACAATGCAATGATGATAGAGCGACGGCATTATGCCCTGTATACTAGAGTGTAGAGCTACTTGGCCTTACAACATAACTGTTCTATGAGCCTCCTTGCCTTGACAGTCTCTGCTTCAGACTTGCCATTGACATGCCAACACATTCATCATCACTGAGTCTCAGGCAATCGCTTCCAGCAGCAGATCACAACAAGGCAAAAAGCATTGAGACAGAGAAGCTTATTGGTTTTCCTTGAATCTGTATTGTTTTCCCAACTGTCTGTTTGCTAAAAAAATATATATATATATAATCAGCTACATAACAGATGCATGTGATGTGATTCTACATTTTAGTCCAGGCAGTAGGATCAAAACCAAACTCACATGCACGTCACTTAACCTATCTGGGTTGGTTTTTTTCCCCCCTTTCTTTTTCCATGATTTCAAAATGGAGCTTTCCCTCAATTCACAGGTGCCAAGAAGGTATTTAGATAATGTTGTGAAAGCCTCCAGTCACATTTTGTCCTCTGAATCATTCCAGATATGCAGTATTAGATATTAAGAGTGTCTCTACTCGGCTCCATTGGATTGCAAAATGGTAACAGCTTACTCACCGTTTCCGTGTTAAGGCACTGAATGAAATTACTGCCAGGAGTCAGACTCATACCATCAATATGTATTCTCATACATGCATACTGTCATTGAACACAACTATGCAATTTTAAGTGTGGCATTCACAAGTTTAAATATTGACTACAAGACAAAAATATTATTTATTCCTCCCTCCAATAAATTATATTCTGCTGAAACATTATATGCAGAACTCTAAAGGCAAACGTTGCTTTTCCAATGCATACACATTAAGCATGCTCTTTGAACTCCAGTATATCGCATTTCATGTTCCACATTTTGAGTGGTGTGAATCTGGACGTTGTAGTTGTCCATCCAAGTACTGTTCCCATGAATGTTGCACCGCAGTTTTCCTTTTACATGCCTTTTAAAACCAACTGGATTTGTTTGAAATATTTTGTGAATGAATGATTCTGTTTTAAGAATTGTTTTGGTCAAATGTACGCAGCTTTTTCCTTCTTTTTTTTACTTTTACACTTTATGCATAAACATGTTTCATTTGGGCTCACTCCATCTAAGTTGTCATCTCAGCCTGTCACATTTGACATCTCTCGGCTCATCTTTACCAATAAAAGTTAAGCTTGCAGCTGCCGATATTTGTTTTAATCAATAAGCAGAGAAATGTTTGGTTGTTTTTTTTTGGGTTTTTTAAACTTGTGGCCCAGGTTAGTCTCTGAAAGTTTACCAGGAATGGTAACCTCAGTAAATCACTGATGGTGACATTTGTTTGGAAGCACATTGTTTGATTACAAATGTAAAGCCAGAGTGTTTTTTGGAAACAGAATCGCCAACATTTTTCCAATATGGGCAATATTAAAAAAAACAAAACAACAAAGGTGGGGGGGGACTATATGCTTCCAAAGGAATGTCTTGACACCCAAAGAGTGATGAATTGTTGAGGATTTGTATTTTTTAAAAGAATGTATAATGTGAAAATGTTTGCTTATGCTTGTTTCGTATAAAGTATTATGATAAATAACTTTCTGAATTGAGAGCAATATAATACTAATAAAACCTTATCCTTGTCACTGAAATGTTTCTTCTGCTTAATGAAGTCTTTGCAAAGTTGATGTTCATTGAATTGAATTTATTTAAATGATAGAAGCATGGGGGGGTAAAAACGAAAAAAAAAGACTTCCACTTCTGGTCACTTCTGTGGTGGTAAGGACACATCCTGGAGAGACTTCCTCTGTGGGATATTAATAATGTTAACTTTCACAATCTGCAGTGAGTCACATGGGTCTGAGGAGAGAGAGGAAAAAGATCTCACCAGTAGAACATCACTTAGATCCTTTAAGTCATTCAGGACTCTGTTGCACAGGGTTATCCTGTCAGACAGATTCACCAGTCTCTCCTCAACGTCCTCCAGCTTCTGCGGAGGACACAAACATGTTGGTCACCAGTTAATTTGAGCGGACAGCCGTCAAATGTTAAAGCCTCACACTGTGTCTGACCTGTTCGACCGGTGAAACGGCCTCATCAGTCCGCAGGGCCATTGTCTCTGCTGTGCAATCTGCACAAGTCACAAACACAGACATGTTCATTATAATGCAACAGCTAAACTAAAAAAAAGCTGCATGGTTAGTTACCTGTGTCCGACGCCATGACCAAAGACATATGATCTGTCCTGTTAAAACTGCTATTTTCTATTGTGTCTGCGTTTTTTAAGCAGGTTTTCACAGCTGATTTAAATCTCCCTAACTAATGAGTGATGAGGACGGCAGGCAAGTAACGGAAAGAAATGCAAATATGCGTCAGTGTGCGCAATATCTGTTGGAGAGTTTAAAGAAATACCCAAAATGCCTTTCCAGATATTACCCATGTCCAAAATAATGTTTGTTTATTTATTTTTATAGCAAAACTATGACATACCAAACTTTAACATCATTATATCAAGAGTTCCGGGATGAAATGAAAAACTTATTTGATATAATTTATATATATATTGAGTTTTTTTAATAGGGTCAGTAGGTTTAGGGATCGTTTGAATACACAGTTACATTTAATGTCTGACATATTTAAACAGTTTTTTTTGTTATAAAAGTACTTTTTTAGGGTTATGTTTTTTTCTCTTTGTCCAATAGCACAAATATAGTTTATGGAGTTAAAACACACATCTAAACATCAATTATTCAAGCTCCTAACTTTCCACTCGATTATCCGAAACAAAGCTGCTGCTGGCCCTTTAAGAAAGTTTGCGTCATGGTTTTGGGGGGCGTCACCCGGAAGCGTTGTGTTATTTCATCAGGCGGCGACAACACGCTCCCATGGCGGTAACCTCGGTTTTATGAAGTCCGTTTGTAACATCGCAGGTTTCCTCAAACCCGGAGCCGCTCCCAGTCCGGCCGCAGCTCCCAGTCGACTCGGAGCAGAGATGTGTAAAGAGCTCAAGACCAAAGTGCTGCGTTTACTGCCGCCGACCTCCAATGGGCCGTCTGTTCAGCAGGGGGGCCAAACAGGTGACAAGCGACCACGTGGGTCCCTGCACACTGTGGGTTTTAAACACGAGTGAATGACTGAGAGAGATTTTAAAGAAATATTTGCACAAGACGTTTAGCAGTTCGTAACGTGAACATTGCAGTGTGTTGCATCAGATTCCGGATTTTCCTGTCCTGCAATAGACACACACCTAACTAGTTAGTAAGGTAGTGCACCTTCTAAACAGACAGCTGTCCTACTTATAATGTCATCAGGTGACACTTGGGATAGTAATAAGTCATGTTCAGCCTAATGGACTGACGGGGGTGTTACATCACTGATGCGTTTCTGTTGAAGTATCGTTTCAATGAAGCTGCTTTGAGTACTGAGTTTACAGCTGGGTAGAGGAGAGGATTGCCATTTGTCGTCTTTATAACTCATGTTATGGCGACCCGTATTCTGCAAAGTAAATAGTAGATTAGATAATTGGTAGCTGAGGAGAAAGCACAGCTCCCTCTCAAGTGCAGTGCAGTAGATGTATGAAGTGTTGAAGCACTGCTTTATGCTTTACTAATGTGAGTCTTCAAGTGCTTACAAGAATACATTCAGGGGACTCACAAGAAACAGATTTTTAATAAGATGTCCTTATTCCTGGAGTTAAAAAAAAGGGGGGGAGGAATCCTACACTACACTTCCCATAATGCAACTTAATAGCTGTGTTAGACACAAATCAGTGCAGTGCCCTTTATGTGCAGTTATAGAGCAATACATGTTTTACTGTCCACATCTGCTAGTTTATCTCTCTCAGTCCTTCGCTACGTCTAAATCCTTTTAAAATACTAATGACACAATGTTTTTGATGATGATGATGTGTCTTGTGCTGGATGATGCCTCGTTTGAGCCTCCTTGTCGTCGTTGAACTGCAGATGGTGCTGAAATCCTGAGTTACACGGTGAAGGCTCTGAAGGAGGGTCATGTGGTTGCTGTGCCCACGGACACCATCTACGGCCTGGCATGTCTGGCCCAGAACTCGGAAGCCATCAGAAAAACCTACGACATCAAAGGACGTAATGGACAGAAGCCGCTCGCCATCTGTGTCGGAGAAACTCGGGATATCTATAAGTAAGTATTTGTACTGGTCTCTGCTGTTGTACCACCAGAATTGGAGGAAGACGTAATCTGGGCCTACTTTGTCGTTGTTCCACGATAGCGGGGCTACACTTTGAATGCAGATGGTAACTGTTGTGTTTTGGTGCCAGTCCTTTAGATGTGCGACGGTTTATATGGTTAGACCTACCATATTGCACATACAGACGGGTGACAAATTAAAGGAAAAACCTGAACGAATAAGAGGAGGAACATGATAAATACAGAGGCTTTCATCCAGGACACAAGGGGGTCATTGAATGCTTTGATGAAAATGATGTGAATCAACTGAACACCTATGGGAGAATGGAGAGGGTTCCAGACAGTCGGAGGTTTGTGTTGGTTTGGCCTTTAAATTGTCACCCATCTGTATGCACAGTGGTCAAAGTCCTAATACCACACTGTAAAATATATTGTCCTGAATTGAAAATGTTACTTAAGTAAAAGTATTTTTTTATTGGATAGAAAGTCATGATTATTTTCATTATGGATTAATCTGCTCATTATTATCTCCATTATTAGATTGTTTTTAAAACCAGAGCCCCAAATGACACCATTTCGGGGTTTGTTTTATCCAACCAATCGTAAAAAAGAATCTAAATAATTAAAAGGGGGGGTTCGACTCCAACCTGTGGCCCTTTGCTGTGTCATCCCCCCCCTCTCTCTATCCCCTTTCCTGTCTATCTTTAGCTGTCCTATATATTTATCATAAAATAAATAGCAAATCCTCTTATTTGCTAAGCTGGATGTTTTTGCATAAAAAAATGACTGAAACTTTTATCAAAATAGTTGCAAATTAATTGAATATTAATGTTAGCTCTTTGTATTCTTTGTATGCAAAAATCAGATTTTTTTTTTTTTTTCAAAGTAACTAGTACAAATTGTAAAGTACAGTATTTCCCTCTGAAATGTAGCAGAGTAGTAATAGAAAGACAAGTACCTCAAATTTGTACTTGCGTACAGTACTTGAGTAAATGTTCCACCTCCTGTAAATATTAGTCATACACAGGAGTCACATGTAGAAGAGGCAGAGATACCATCTTCACACCACCGAGGGACATTTTACATTTTGATTGACAGGCACACCTGCTGTCACAGAAATACCAGAGTGTTCATTCATTCATTCATTAGGTAATTATATTTAAATGAAGGCATTTTCGTACATAAATCACAAAATACTGCAGAAGAGATAGCGATACTCCTTGGATTAAACATGGAACATCACAGACTTACAATGTTAAACATGTTTCTGTGTCCATGGTCAGGTACTGTAAGGTGCCGGTAAAGGAACCACTGCTAGCGGACCTGCTGCCTGGTCCCGTCACTCTGGTGTTTGAAAGGTCTGAAGTGCTGAACACAGATCTCAACCCCTTTACTTCGGTAAGTCCACTCCTTCAAGTGGGTGGTACTGAAAACAAAGCATCAAACAAATGTCTTATTCATGATTGTCAATCCTCTGTTGTTTACGTGTGTCCATGTGCTCCTCAGCTTGTAGGTGTGCGTATCCCAGACCACGCCTTCATGAGACGCCTCTGCCAGATGTGTGGGGAACCCCTCGCACTTACCAGCGCTAACATCAGCTCGCACACCAGCACTGTGGCCGTACATGTAAGTGTAAAGTAAATGAGATGAGAGATTCTTTTATCTCACATTTGTTATTTATTTTCAGTATGTTTCCCAGCTTCTTAATTCTGGTTAGAAGAGTGTTTCTCTTAGTTTTATCTCTTTGTCATTCAAGTTTACAAAATTATTCTTGAATCCTGTTGTTTCCCCTCTGTAGGAGTTTCAGGAACTGTGGCCCAAACTAGCAGTGGTGGTCGATGGAGGACCAATTGGAGATCAGAGCCGCCTCGGATCAACAGTGGTCAACTTATCTGTGCGGGGCAAATACAGCATCATCAGACCCGGCTGGTGAGTTCATGCTGTTACTGGGACCCAATCAGGATTCACTTTTTGCATTAACATAGTAATAATATCCAGGAAACGATTTACAGGACCACTAAGATTTTAGCAAAAACACCCAACATTTTCAAAATGCTTTTTTTTTTCTTTTTTAATGACCTTCATCATGTTTAAAAGAATGTGATAAAGGACAGATTACACTTCATGCAACAGAATAGCCCCACACTCGTCCCTGACAAAGGATGTAATGGTTCAGAGTTCAGTAATAAATAAATATCGATCAGAGCGATCTGTAAACAACGTATGAGACCGATGGTACAGTTTGTCATCCGGTGGTCTAATATTGTACAAAACTACATCATGGCATCATAAGAATAATGACATATGCGTTTCCAACACACTTATGTCCCAAATCCATAATACATGCTGATTCTGAGCAGGTGTTTAGTGTGTAGCATGTTCACAGTGGAAAAAGGGGCAAAGTAATGTATAGTGAAAGCAGAAAAGCAGACTGTATGCATACTGAATGCGTTCAGTTTTTGTGTGTGCTGTTGAAATGCATTATTCTCCCACAATGCAATGCACAAAGCAAATGGAGAATGTTTACAAGTGGAAACTAAAGAAATCATTTTGATGTCTCTTTTAGAGTTTTCTAAAGTTATAGACAACTGACATGTTTTATCATTTCCTGTTGGTATGACATTGTAAATTATGTTATCTTTATATACTTGCTGCTAAAACAGTATATTATGGCGAGTATGTAGTACATGTATAGAATTAGTATGTACCGTTTTATGGATTTGGGACACAGCTATTACTTCTGTTGGCTGCCCACGCAAATTTGCAGGACAAAGCTGAACAAAGGTGAAGTCTGACCCAGATCGCACTGAAGACAGGAAGCACTTTCTTAAATTTGTACAGAGTGAATTATACGGAAGACTGATGTACCTGTACCTTCAGGTTTTCTGTTTACTACACAGGAAGAAAGGAATATACGCACCAATATTGCACACAGGCTATTTTATTAAATTTCCTAGATTCACGACTGGCTTCAAGCACCTGACAGTGTTTATGGTTTCCTGCTGTGCTTTTACCGAGGAAACGGTGTCACCTCAATGTACTCAACCACTGGGAGGACGAGCCTCCTGCAGCATCTGTTATGATAAAGGATCCCCTGGAAAAATGTAGTCAAGCATGTGAAGACAGAATATGTAAACCCTCCACAGAAAGTAATCAGGGGTGTTTTTGTGACGTGGACTAAACATGGCTACAGTTTAGTTCAGTCTTACCACCAACTGTGCCACCTCACACCCCAACTTCACTCCTGAAGGAGACTCCGTACATTAAACGACTCTAATTCTCTTTTCAGTGCCCTTTCTTCTACGGTTGACGTGCTGGAGCACAAATATGGACTGTCAGGAGACTTGGGGGAGGAATGACCTTTTGAACTCTCCACACTCCACAACAAATGCTAAGACGCACAACGAGTGTTGACCCCGGGCGTTCTCAGACAAGATGAATCCTTTTCATGTCCACATGGAAGAATTTGTCTTTCCCGGGAAAGAATAGAACTCAGGAACAACTTGAGCGTTAAAATGCTAATGGCCGATAGCGTTCTGGTGGCTGCTTTAAAGTAAAGTAACTTTTTTATTTTGACCATATTTCCGCCTTACTATGGGTCTACTATTATGGGATTATGCAGGAAGTGTCATAGTTCTCTACCATTTTATTCAGAAAACTAGAACAATGTCGGCTATATAGGATGTTTTTTTTTTTTTACATAAAATTTTAACTATCTTTTTGTATTGTCAACATGGCTTAACCAAGAGTACAGTTTTTTGTATTTTTTGACTTAATATATGTTATAGGTGTAGTAGGCAACTGTTTTATGGCCAGAAAATTTCTATGTGGTTCTGTGAATCGCATTGACTATACATCAGATCTTTGAGTCCAGAATTGTTTTTTAATAGATGAATCCCCTTTTATTTATTTCATCCACATGTCAGTTTAACAGTGGCATGCATTGCAATTGGTCTCCTTCTAGTTACAATAACTGTTTTATGAAACTTAAACTACATTACATTTACAAGATGAAAAATACTGTAATATTTCAATACTGTAATTCAAGTTGTGTTGATACGGTGTACATTTTCATCTGTCCTCTTGCAGGTTAAAAACTGGAGCGTTAGCACGGTAGCACTACACCAATAAAACTTTTTCTCTCTTATTCATGCGTGAGATGCTATTTGAGACATACTTCTGGGTTTATTTTTAAATGTCTGGCTGGCTTTACTCATAATTGATTCTTAATGGAGTGTGAAATCAAAAGTCAGATCATAAATGTTTTAAAAAAACAAGCAGAAATCACTCCGAAGCGTCCTTCACAACCAAAGACACGTCAAAGAGCACACTTTTAATCTAAAAGTGCCTTTTACTTTAATAGGTTTCAGAAGTGCCCCAGTCAGTGGTACATTTGTATTCATATCATATTCTGAGTCTGTCAGTTCTGCTTAATTTAAAGAAACAAAAATTCTGATCATCAGGTGGGGAAGAATCAGGAAAAATGTAGCCAAATTCAGATTTTTCTTTTTTTGTTCTGTTTTGGACAACCTTAAGGCCAAGTTTGGTGTAACTGTGCTTAAATTGCCTGTCTGACTTTCTTTACTTGCCAAATGGACCAGATATAATCTGACACCGAACACCTTTGTTGGTTAGCACTATAGAGAGGAGCAGAGAAAATCTGCATGCTATAAATATATAAACTGGAAGGGTATTTTATTTTACTTACCAACTAATATACTTTTCTTGAAGTTTCTTCCAGAGGGTTATTACTGATGCAGGCTGGGCTCTGAAGCGTTATGAAACCCTGTTGAAATATTTTGTATGATTTGAAATTAAACTCTTAAAAGCAATAGTCTGACATATTTGCAAATAAATGTATTCACTTTCTTGCCAAGAGTTAAATATGAAGATTGATGCAAGCGTGAGGTTGCGAGGCAACAAGTGGAGACTGGCAGTCAACGTCAATGCCACAACAAAAATAATTTTGTCATCGTTACACTTTAGTTTTGGAACAGATTAAACAAATGAGATACATAACATGTTATAAATTAGCTTTAGAGATGCTGTTTGGTGAATACTGTTACTGTTGGACAGCTGGCTGTAGCTTCATATTTAATAGCCAATATGAGTGGTATCAATCTAACTCAGCAAGAAAACAAAAGCAAGCATTTTCCAAAATGCTCAATTGTTCCTTTTAATTTCAGAATCATGTTGAAGAAGTGGGATTTTTGCATGACAGCTGCAATAAACTTCACATGTACTTGCATGCCAAACCCTCTACTCACAGCTTTTAAAACACCATTTCAATGAGCTCTCTGAAGCGGGGAAAAAGGAAAGATAAAGATTAGTGTCTCATTCTGTTTGGAGAGTCTTGTGGATCAAAGCAAAACCATGAAAGTGTCTTGCTTTTGTAAATCAATTCTATTATGTAACTGCAGAGAGGGAAATGAGGCCTTTACATGGTTACAGTATTTATGAATATCTCAGGCAGGAGTTTCTTAGGTAACAAGCGTATTTGAGAAAATCATTAAATGAATAGAGGTCAGGGACCACCCTACAGAGCATTTCAGAAGTCTGGGCTGTCAATGGAAATTCCCAAGAATAACCCTTTAATGCTGCTTTACCTGAAAACTTTAAGACAGTCACACCACCAACACAGGATCTATTCTTGCAGATCAGCATCTGTGCACAAATGCACTCACTCACAGGAAGTCTCAAAGCCGGTCAATTAAAGGTAAAAGCACATCCTTATGCACTCAAATCTATACTGGTCACTCTACATTCACTCCCTTTTGTTCTTTCTCTTTCGCGTGTACAGACACTTCCACTACTAGAGCATGCCGTTTCAAGTCAGTTTGATGAAAAGCTCACATGAGCCACTGCTCCTTCTCTTTGTTGAACTGCTCTGCCCAGCGGCGGGTCAGCTCCAGGTAGTGATCAGGTCCATGTGGCTGATAGTCCAAGTACACACGGGTCACTGTTTTTTTGGGTACCGCCCTCTCTATCTGCGTCCCCTCGTGCCATTCATTAAAAGATGTGATGGTGACCATTTCTGGCCTCACATTGAGTGCTGCCTGCAGGGCCGTCTCGTAGTAACGTCCGTTCACCCTGTTGCGCATGTTGTGGTTGTTCCAAGGCCGGATGCTGGTGTCGATATAACCAGGCCCAACGCTGGGGATGAAAAGGAGATTGTTGCCGTCACAAAAGGCTTTGATGGCCTTCCAGTTCTGGTGAGAGGAGCCGAAAGAGAAACCGTTGGAAGCGAAGTAAGTGTACATGCCGTCAAAGCCACCTGCGAGGATGTCATGCTTGTGGCGCTCCTCCACAATCAGGGCAATGAAGATGGAGTCATAGGCTGAGCCACGCACGCTGTGGGAGCCAGTGGGAGTCAAAAATTCAGACCAGGACTCTGGTGGAGTTAGGTACGAGTCGTAGATATAAAATAGAGGAAGACTCTTCCCTGTGCTGGAAGTGAACTTGTAGAAGGCTCCATGGTCACCGTACCTTTAAAGACAATAATACAGTGAAATAATAACAGTAAGTAAGTGCTGAAATAATTAGTTGATAAATGACTAGTTGATTAAGTCAAGAGGCAGCAATGCTCTTTTAAAGGAATGTGCAACAAACTGATCATTTTGCAAGATTTAACAGCAAAGGGCTGTTAACTTTCTTCTGAGTCTGGTGGAAGAGAAAAGACCGTGGGAGTCATTAAATCAATTCATAAATAAAGTGTTTACCCTTTAAGTAGGATTAATGTGGTCAAATGTCATATCAATCTGCCTTTTAGATTAGTTTGTTAATGTGTGTTATATGTTTCAAGCTGACCGTGGGACACAAGGAGAAGAAATCTTAGGTTGAGAATGGAAAAAGTTTATCCTCTGGGGAGCACAAATCTTCTCAGTCTTTTCTTGGGTACAAGTGGATATTTTGGCCTGATGGCACTAAACATTTTAACAAGTCATTGGCCAGTCATTATAAACTCAAATTCTAGTAGAGATCAAAAAGTTATTAAAGAGGTCAAATAGGTCATTATGGGCTGAACTTGTATGAAGAAATGTATGAAATGATGCACAAAGACATGGAGAATAGTTTTACTTAATGGGATGGTGCAGCCAGACAAAACATGGGTTTGCATATTTGATTTTAAATAAACATAAGAATATACAGTATATGATGCTGTCAGAGTGTAGTAAGATGACTGTAAAAACCTACAGCAGCTATAATCAATATGTTTTGTATCAAATGCTGATGTAAAATGGGTCACTTGTAGTGATGAACCTAGAAAGAATTGATTACCTGAATCTGCAGCTTCCCTCGGCTTTATGGAGCTTTATACCAAGTTGCAGCTGGTTGTTTAGCCGTACATGCCAAAACATTACTGTTTTGGTTCATAGCATCATTTTTGGCTGTAGCAGGCAGCTGTTTTTGGCAAAAAGGCTCTAAAAACTAGAGTTGGTGGAGACTAAAAACCCAACTAAAAGCAGAGGGAATACTGGTCTTACATTCAACAGACGGCAGACTACAAATGAATGATAAAGTTAGTCTTTAACTCCTGGATGTGTAAATAACCAACTGTTCGCTAACTATTTCACTATATAAAACTTAAAAGTTGAGGAAATGTAAGACAGAAACATGCATATTAAGTTAATTAAGGATTATTATAGTCACCAAAATCTACAGCAAACCTAATGGAAACCAAGCAAATAGTTTTGAGTAGGCGAAGGATTGTCTTGCCCTATAACCATCACTGTTGGGGCAAATATGAAGATTTGCTTAGTATTTTTCAGAGCAACCTTGATACTAAAAGGTTAAAAAAATAGTTTTTGCCTCAAGAACTCATTCATAAGTCATGAAACTGGCCTTATATAAGCAGAAATGCTTTCTAAAAGTATTTCAGTTTTGTAACTACTGTTGCACTTCAACTGTGCATCAAGTCTTAATGGTTCGAGTTGAGTCAGTGATGGAGTAATGCAGCCAGACAAGTGCATACCTGTCAATGATATACTTGATGTTGTCATGCACACTCTGGTCGTTTCGTCCTCTGTATGGCTGGATGTGAAATGCCACCTAGGAAAACATGCAGAAAGACACACGCCTTGTTGGTTTTTCATTCATTATATTACAAAATGATACCACAGTCAGCACATACAGATGAAGTATTGACATAAAATCAGCATTCACTTTCTAAGGGGAGACTCCTCAGAGGACTCAGGAGCTGCCAGGAGGAAAAAAGCTCCATGAGATGCGTATTGTTTTAGAGTTCAACCATGCTAAGTGTGCAATACAAGTAAATCATGCACCATTTTAAAGAATGTGGCCCTAAAGCACAGCATGACAGCAGGCGGCAGACAGGATGTGACTGTAAAGAATCATGTTTTTAGTCTCATTTTTATGACAAATTCTGTCACACTGTAGGTGATGTTTTTCACCCTAAGTGGTGCCCCTTTGGAGACTTCTGTAACACTTTTAATGGCTCAGTTAGACATGGGTATTTTTAATTGACGAACAAAAGCAGCAGAGGAACAAGGGACCCGAAGTGACATATACACAAAAAGTGCTTAGGTTAAATATTTTAAGGCACGGCCAGAGAATTCAGCAACTTTGAATAATGTATGATCAAAGTGAAACATTTTTCTTCTCGAGCAGTGGACACCCCAGGGAAGTAAAGAGAAATGGGCTTTTTAAGATGATGGAGGCCAACAGCAACCAAATGGATGTAAGATGTCATCTAGTGAGCTACACAGGACTGACAGAACTAAGTGGTATGATTTGTTTCTTATCCCCGATAAAAACCTGGTGAACGGCTACAATTAGCCCAGGATTTTACTTGAAAAAAAGTTCAAGGTCTACAGCCATGCTAGTGGCTCTGTGAGGCTGTGTGATGCTATGCTGCAATGACAGTGCTAACTTGCTGATGTTAAAAGGACCAGTGAAGGATTTAGTAATATCTAGTGGTGAAGTTGCAGATTGCAACCAACTAAATACTTCTCACCTTCTTTCCACATAGTGATCAGGATCCTGTGGGTACCATGAATGCCATGGCAATGACTTTTTGTTGTAAAGATACATCCGTCTGGACCGACGAGGTCTACCGACAGACTGACTTTACCATCCCTCAAGCCACACCATTAGCATGGCTAAAAAAACAGTATCACTGACACTGACAAAATGTGTACGATTAAAGAGCGTATATCAGTATCTAGACGTTTTACATTGTTCATTTAATCTTTGTCCTGTGATGGTGTGCTTGTTATCTGTAAAATGTTTACTATAGAGAAGCTGTATTATAAGCATGTAGTGCACACTGCACTGGAGTTTTTCTCTGGGAAAAAGGACTGTTGGCACCACTGAGTGTGTCACTGTGACATTGACCATAAGTGTACTAATGGATTAAAGTGATGTTTGGAATAGGCTAAAGCCTAGCAAACTGTTTTACACTGCAAATGTCTTTGGATGAAATTTCAGCTGGAGGCAAGAAAAAACAGAACCACTTGTTCCACTAATGGAGATGCTAAGTGCTTTTTTGTAAAACAAAACATACATTTTGATGGTGTAGGATGCTGGCAAAGTATCAATTTGAAGAAAGATAGAGGAAGAAAGATCCTTGCCATCTGAGTAAATCATACCCTTGGATAAGTGTTTGGGAAGCTATAACTTTCTGGATGTCTTGTTAAGTAACAGTCCAGTAAAGCCAGATTAAATATGAACCTTTTTTTTTTTTTTTAAAAAGTGAGGTATTATAGGATATGAAGCCACATAATTACCATCCACAGTGAGGGAAAAAAAAGTTGTTATGGTCTCCCTGTTCACTGCAGCAGACTGCACGCCACTAGAAAACTCAACTCATTTTCCAAACACACTGGCCCATTACTCTGTGGTAATTTAGAAGTAAATGAGACAGAGTCGACGCATTTTAATACCTCATAAACACTGACAGCATGAGCCTGGAACAACCCCAGCATGATTTATGCTGAGCAGAGTGGAATTTAGTGCCACATCATGCAGAAAGCACAAAGAGAGGGATATGAGCCAACACAATGATAAAGGTCCAGATCTTTGTAACAATTAGATCAATTTCAAGGAAGCTGAGCACATTTCTTTATGCAAAAGTGTCAGTTTCATTCTGTGGTCAAAGCCAGTGGACACACACAATAACGGAGGGTCACATAAGACTGAATGGAGCTACTTGGTGCATCTGGAAACAAGAATGTGTGGCGGATGCCATCACAGGGCACCCATGGGCCTTATTCCCCTGCGTACATGCAGCTACATGGCCTACTTACTGGATAGAACTTTCACAGCCCCTCAGGGTGCAGATTGTTCAGGGAGGCAAACTGAGTCATGGCACCCATGATGCACATTTCCCCTCTGCTCCCTCCCTCCTGCAACCAGCTTCCAATCCCCCCCAACCTTGTCCCCACCAAACCGCCCCCACCCTCCCCTGGGCAGAAGGACTATTTCAGCTCCACTTCAAGCTGAGGTCAAGCAGCAGCACTGCTGTGGAGGCTCCATGTGTTCTGCTTTCCAACTCTGCCATACAAAAAACACGAGAAGTGTGTGGGTGCTGCTGAAATACAGTTCAACTTATATAATAAAAAGTACATTGCCTTGCAGCATTACCCAACGAGGGCTCAGTGTGTTTTTAGCTATGTGGTGAGGCATTGCCAGTATGATGGAAGTTGAATTTGTTTTTAGTGAGCTAGGGTTAAGTATCAAAATCTAGTTTTGAATGTATTTTTAACATTTTAAACTGTTATTCTGTCTCCCTGTATTAATTGCGCAGTTATCCCTTGTTATGTGTCAAAACAGTATTTTTAAACCAATATTTATGTAAATTTTTATGTAATAAATTAAATTGTTTTTACTGACTCATCTTGAATTTAGATGTGGCTTGTAGCAATAAACTAAGCCCACCCATCCTACATTTAAACAAAACATTAATACGTTATTAATTTGGATAATAAATTAAGTCATTTGGCAAACATTAAATAGCAAGAATTCTCTGGTGTGATGCTTTTCTCTGTCTGATAATAAACTGAATATCTTTGAGGTTTTGGACTGAATAAAACAGCAATTTCAATACATACACTTGAGCCGTCAGAGATTACAACAGGCATTTTTCACTATTTCTGGGAGTCATTAGGGGCCCAATAGCTAGTTTTTGCCCCAGGCCCCCTACTAGGCTTATCCAGCCATGAATCTTGGAAAGGTTAATGCCATATTTATGCCCCACTGAGATACATAAAACCACTGTAAAGACTTTAAACTGTAAAGGCTGTCTTAGATTGCTCTGTCGAGTAGTTGGTTAGGAAGAGTGGCAAGCGTACTGTAATCCTCATTCTCACTTAGGAGGAGTGCTGTTGTGACAAACAAGAGTAGATAGCACAGGACAAAGAAAGTGCATATGGGCAGATATCCTGTCCCTCTTTCACAGAATAAAAGATTACATTATTTTACAGACATGCAAAAGATGTCATTCTTCCTGGTGTCTTCTAGCTTATCTCCGTATGATTTGCTCATTTTTTTCAGTAATACAACTATTTTAGTGTAATTATATAGACTCACCAAGGGCGTGATGTTTCAAAACAAAACTGCTCATATACTGTCACAACCGTTTCTCAGACTGGCTGGTAGCCACTTTGCTACTAAAAGCAGATTGCAGATATGCGTGTTTCCTGAATCCTGATCTGATAAATTTTTGGCTGTTGTCACTACTCCTGCGGGACCATCTGTCCTCCTCACTTGGGCTTCCCTCCCACCTTTTAGTCTTCCTTTCAGTAGAAAAGAGCAAAGATTTTTTTAAAAGTTTGTTGCTTTCAAAAAAATTGAATTTAGAGTTCCAAATGATGAGAGCCAAAGTTCTTTACCTGTCAGCATTTTGCTGAAATTATGCAAGAAGAAGCACTCTAACGATAAATGTCCCTGTGTGCAGAGGGAGTGGGAGGAGTTCATCAAAAACAACGAGAACTGGAAGAGGATTGCTTGGAAAGACTGCACTCAACATGCTGCTGTACATAGAATCATTTTATTTGAAGGCTTTCTCTGCTCTGCTCTCTGATTGTGATCATTTCTTTCATAAGACATGAAGATAAGCAATTCTGTATTCTTATTTCAATGAGATACTGAAATGTTCACTTGATTTGCAGAAAGCATGTCACAGCCTGTTTTCCACACACGCCTCCTCCACACTTTTTATGAAAATGTCATGCTTGGTGGGTCACTGATGACAACAAAACATGGCATTAAATTCAATCTATTAGCTTCTCTCCTGACAGCATTATGTGTAAAACCTCATCAGTTCAATGTTGCATGTCTAATCCAGGCGTTCTTGTCTTGCTCTCACAAAGATACATTATTCCTCTGCCTGCAGCCAAACAGCAGACTAAACAAATGTGATATCAAATCTGACAGACTGCCCTGACAAACGTACTGCCTTTCCTCTGCGTTTATATGGAGAACAAGGCCAATATGTGTCACATCGCTGCTGGAAAATAAATTAACTTTATCTTCACATCAGCATACAAACACTGGCATGATAATGAATTGAGTTACAATAATGGTCCTTCTAAATTAATTAACTTTGTAATTAACCTTGGTGATAACTTTGCTAGTTGTAAATACAACTTGATGCCTTATAGGTCAGTAAGGTAAGGTAGTTATTTTGGGTCCTAAACATAAAATAGGAACATACTTCAATAGGCTTATAAAAATACAATTAAATGTGTAACCTGCTGACTTCAACACAAAAATATGAAGCTTGTTCAGGAAGTGAGTGTAGTGTAGTAGTGATGTTTTTTCCACAATTTCACAAATTATTTATCATCTCTCAAATGCAAGACACGTGATCTTCTTTTAAATCTACTGGGTGGTCTGCTAAGATGACAACTTTTCTGTAATTATTGAATTCAAATATCAATAAATAGCTTGGTTAAAATGTCTTGTTCGACCAACCTACCAAACCTCAAAGATATTCAGTTTACAATGACAAACAAGAAAAACAGCAATAATCATATTGTAGAGGCTAAACTCTAAAAAAAAAAAAAAGCCCAGCCCCCTAGCACGTCAGTTGTCTGATTTTTACTTAAAACATGTAGAATGCTGTTGGTGCATTATTAATGGCCCCTTCTTTGACATAGGAAAACTCTTACAAGCCTGTCTCTCTTATACATCATTTTAAATTCGTACAGAAAGATAATCTTGTATCTCCCTTTCTCCATCGCATTGTCATCCTTCACCTCTCCTCTCTGTCTGTATCTGGAGAGTATCTGACATGAGTTGTATCGCATTACAAGCGAGCGCTCCCTGTAAAACTTTAATAAGCCTTCGATACAGTGACAGGAGGCAGAGGGACCGACATGGACAGTTATTTCCTTCAACATGCCATTTTCCAACCTAATTGGCAATTGGTCACATGGTTTTGCTACCCCCCACCTCTCCACCCTACTGATATGCTCCAGAGTTCATTCATTCCTCACTGAACAACTGATCCAGCAGCAGCAGCTCTTTGACCCGTTTTTGCTCTAATGCTGGAGATGTCACTGCAGCTGCAAACATCCGGAGTCAAATCCCTGAGTAGCACAGACAGCTTTATAGGAGGCAGCAGAACAAGTTCAACAGCTCTTAATCTTACCCTCCTGTGACAAAAAGAAACCGCTGCTTCCACGTATAACTAACTACAGCACAATGGCTGGTTTTACATTACTATCCTGAGCAGTGTTAAGCTCTCTGCTCACCTCTGTAAAGCATCAATAACCCTTTGCTTGCTCCTGTGTCACTGTACTTAGTGAGAGGAATGGATGGAGAGAAAATGGACAGACAATCATATTTACACATGGAGCCTCAGCCTCATTCATATTCTGGCAACTATTCAGAAATAAAATAATGGGTATCTCTCCATACATTAACATTTGAGTTCAGGAAACTGGAGGTTTGACATAATTAGCCTATGTTAATACGTTAAAACACTGTCTAAGCTGGCTTACTGCCTTTAATGGAGTGCCTCAAGGTTCTGGGCTTGTCCTGCTTTTATTTTATCTTTAAATAGATAATTTAGGTGTCTTGTTTGAAACTAACACTTATTTCTATGCAGATGATAAAGTGTTGTATAGCTGTGGATGTTCTCTCCCAGATACACTTAAGGTTAGGTTTTGATTTTAGTCCTGTTTGTCCTTTGAATTGAGGAGATGGCTGGTCAACAGCACCGTTGTATGGGTTCTTGATTATGGTGATTTGTTGAATAATAATGCAATTAATTCTGGGCAAATTATATGCACATCTCACAAATTTATTTTCATCTTGCAATTATCATCTCATATCACAACAGAAATATTGGTGGTCTGTCTCTAGTGTATGATGGAGATGGTAAGGAAAATTGGTAAATTGATAAATTAGCTATATCTCACACAATTGTAAACTTTATGGTAAATACTTCTATCCTTGATTATGTCTGTTCTTAGCCTACTTCTTGTTTTTTATTGCCTTAATTTTGTTATTTTTTCATCTGTCATGTTTTATGCTGCTGTTTATGCTGCAAAAGAGGCTGGTTTAATAGGATTAACTTGTTTAAATGAAATGTGAAAATAAAGAAAAAATAGAGAAAAAAAAACAACTCTTCCATCAACAGCTACTGACTAAAAATGGACAAATCATTGAACAATCAACACCCTTTTTCCTGCAAGAACTTGGAGTCTGCAGCAAAAATTGAGCTGAATATCATGCCACAGAATAGATTTGATTCATTGCTCTTGGACCTTTTCTTCCCTTTGTTTCTTGATCACACACACACACACACACACACACACACACACTCTCAAAATGTGCTGATGCCTTTTACCTTGAGGTTATGTCTATATGCAGCATCCAGTACAGCTGGTACCAAATCTTCAGCAGGTTCCCCGTTGTCATCAGCCAGGCCGGGAGGATACCAGGACAGGACCAGAACCCCTGGAGATACATGGACACTCATGAGTCTGATCATCCATCCTGGACCAAAGACACTGGTTAATACCTCAGAGAGCCCCTACTGCTGAGAACACATATCCACAATGCATATTAACCTCTAAAAGTTTTATGCATTGTTGAAATGATGTATGGATTTTATGCTGATTGCAAGAAACGCTTACAATCCTGTGGGGATAAATGGGTACTGAAAAACTTTTGCTGTGATTAATTTACTATGAAGTTTTCACACAGCCCTTCACACAGTTTTACAGAGCCATTTGAGATCGTTGAATGAACACAGTCAGTTGCGCTTTTATTGAACACATTGTAAAGTTTCTGCCCTACTAATCCATTTGAGTAATTACCACACATATTTTACAGGACTTAGACAGATGCTGGTAAGATTTGTGACAAAATGCTGTATGCATAGAGCAAAACGTCACTCTTTGTGCTGGTTATGCATCACTTTGTGGTGGTTTTGTGTCCCTTTCTGGTGGTTTGTGTTTCTCTGTGGTTGATTTTAGTATTTTTGTGGTCATTTGGCATTTCTTTATGGATGTTTTGAGTGTTGTGGTCATTTTGCATCTGTTCGTGGTGGTTTTGCGTGTCTTTGTGGTCGATTTGCAGTTGGTGTGCTTCAGTTTGTGGTCATATTGCTTCTTTGTGGGTCTTTTGCGACCATTTTATGTCTCTTTGTGGTCATTTTGTGGCTGTTTAATGACTCCTTCTGGTCTGTTGCATCTCTATGTGGTCATTTAGTGTCTTTGTAGTTGCTTAGTTGACTTGTCCACAAGAAATGTTGACATTTACTTCAAACAGAGGCTCTGGCCCAGTGGCCCCCTGACCCCTTGGGTCCCTGGGCCTGTGCTCAATAATCCATCCATGGCTGTATGGAGGAAATTTGATTGTTTGCATCTAAATGCGTACCTGCCCATCACCCATATTCTGCTGCTGATTGATGAATATGCATCCGTCATCTTTGAACTATTTATTACGTCTTGTTTTAGTGGCAATCTCTCTGCGCAGCTCGAGTGTGTGACAGCTCATAAATTCCAGCAGAGAAATGCCTCCTCATGCTCTGATGCTGGCTGAGAAATAACTTCATATCAGCCACAGTGGTGCCTGGCACCAGAGAGGATCTGGCACATGGGATACGCACTCAGAGCTAATTCATTAAACTCGTGTCCGCTTGCTGTGAATCTGTGGGGACTATTAGATTACAATACCTTACTATGTCTGTGTGTATTAAGAATACAGTTGCAGCTATTCATTTTGTTTATGGGTCTCTGAAGTGGTGGGGAATCAGTCATCAGGCCAAGTGGAACTATTTAGAGTTTGGCTGGCTTTGGTGTCTAATTAAATAGATTGTTTTAACTAAGAATTGTGAGGCAGCACTCATGATCCATCTGTCAATTCAGTGAAGTTTGAAAGGGATGGATGGTCTGGTCATCCTTCCGGATGGTGTACAATAACCTACTGAGCCGCAGGACAGAAACATATCATGTGTAGGCTGCTGATGGCTGGACACACCGAGCTGTTATTTGATACCAGGCTACAGCACTGTACTGTCTTTTTGAGAAGACATACAAGTTAAAACTAACAACAAACCCATTAATATTTCATGAGACATCCAAAAAAAAACCTGATCTAATCCTGAAGTTCTCAACACAGAGATAAGGGACATTGGGGCTGGGTGATAATTTAATACTATACATCTCTTCTTTTATTTAAATGTTGTAAATACAGTAACACAAGGCAACTTAATCGTAGGTAATTACACACCTTTTAAAATTTTGATTATTTCTTTCCACTTGAAGAATTTAAAACTCTTATAAAAGATGTGTTGTTTTTACTTAATGTAATTGTCTGGCATTGGATGTGCTTTCTTTTGTTTGTTAATGTCGTGTGGTTGTTGGACTGTAAATATTTTGTTCTCGGGTGGTCTTTCATGAAAGAGAAGTTGATCTGAATGAGATTACCTGAATAAATAAAGATAAAAACGTTAATGGAAATATAACCTAATGATATGACCATACTGTGTTTCTGTTTTACTTAATTCTGTTAATCAAAGTAATTATTTCAACACAGACTAACTTAGTTTCATTTTACATACAAGTGGAACAGCTCATTGCATTATTGCATTCCCCATTGATTATTATGAATGTGCTATTTTCCATATTAATATTTTGCTCTTTATAATGATTTCAACCATATTAGCCAGCCCTACGGGATAAGTGTTGAAAAAAAAAGCACACTAAACTGAACCACACAGCTCAGAGGTTGATATTGTGATTACTGGAGTTTTCAAACTCATGAAGCAGCAGATATTTGGGGACTTTGAGCTGAGTGTGTAGGGAGCTGTCCAGTGGATGTGTGGTGCTGAAAATGTTTTGTGCCCGTCAAGCGAAAAGGAGGCAGCTTTGCGCTTATAGAGGCCAGATTTCTGTGCAGCTGCTGGGCGCAAAAAACAACACTCAGCCCTTTTTGTCCCCCAACCTATCTCTCTCTCCAAGAAATCCATGGTGCCCCCCGCTGCATCTCTGAACTGTACCTGCTGCAGATGCTCCAATCTGCTCCATGTGGGACTCCAACACGTCCGGGTCCCTCGAGCTGTACGGATTGAGTTCGGGGTAAAAACTGGACCCGATGTCCTCGGGCGGCATGTGTCTCCCTCTCGGGTAGCTGGATGCGATTTTGGGGTCCCAGTGTGGAACGAGGATGTGGTCCCAGTGAATGTATTTTCCGTCCATATGCGGGTTACCGTACCAGGTGTAGTAAAAAATATGAACATCATAAAATATAGTCCCTTCGGGGCCGGAGTTGGACAAAACTGCTTTGGTGTTGCTGCCAGCCGGGCGGGCTTGACCCGGGGACGCGGTGGCGTCACGGGACACGGAGCGCCGGTCCATCTTCCCCCCTATCATCGGCAGCAGCTCCAAGCCCGGAGCCAGATCCGAGAAGCCGTCAGTGGGCTTCAGGGTCCTCAGTCCCATCATGGTCCCAAAGACGAACAGCGTGAAGAGAAAGAGAGCTATACAGGCTTTCCTCCGTAGTCTTGCCATGTTTGGCTGGAGTGGCAGAAAGTGTAAGCAGCGTGGACGGGACCAGCAGCGTAAATAAACCTCTGTGTTGTGTGTGTGTGTGTGTGTGTGTGTGTGTCGTTTCTGGTTTCCTCGCACCCACAGTTCACCTCACAACCTTCCAGCTACTCCTCAAAGTGTCTTGCATGATAAAAAATAAAAAAAGTGGCTACATGGTTGCAGTCCAGTCGCAGCAGACTACCCGACGCAGTTGGCTGTGAGATTTTTTAAATTGTCTTCTGCAGCCTAGTTGTTTGCATTCTGCTGAGCTTCTCTCTTAGCGTGTTCTCCCCTCAGCTCCTCCAAGAGCTGCTGGGAATTTCGTGCATGCTGTCACGCTGCGGATCTTCCCAATGTTGCTCCCACCAAAGACGTTTCACTCACTGATGTCTGAACCGTCAGTCTCTGGGCGGCTTCACTTCTCCAGCTGGCTGCCGTGTCCCGCCCAAAGGCTGATCCATCCAACCCGACACCGGACAGATGATCGGCGGAGCGCAGAGTGATGCTCTCGGGTGATGGGAGTACGGAGGGGGTTTCTCCAGCCGCCGTCGTTGGTTGGTTTCTCCCTCACACCGTCCGTTTTGGACATCAAAGAGGCGGGACTGTTTTCTCTATATGTGCGTGGCTGCGGAGCCTTGCGCAGACAGAAATATAACGTTTAAGGAGAAAAGAGAAAAAAAAAAGTCGTCATGAATGCTGTCTGCATATCAGCGACAAAAGAACAAGTTAGCCTCAAGTCTTGACATGACTGAGGGAGCGACGTCACAAATCCAGAGTCTGTGAGTCTAATCTCTCTAGCTGGAGACAGTATGAATCGGCATAATGTTTGTTTTAAAGTTCAAACTCCAGTGCCTGACTGTCTGACTGCCCTGCAAGTTCAGAGTTACACTGACATCTAGGGGTCATTTAATGGAACACAATGCTGCCTTCAGGTAGTGCAGGAAATGATGACACCCTAGATCTCTATGTTGTGCTTTGGTGTTTAATAGCAACACATCGGCCAAAAGACTGTGCTCTCATCCACTTAAAGGAAGCAAAATGTTAGTTTAAAAACAGTAGTATTCTGGATACATCAATATATATGGTAATGTCAGACAGCCGTCTTTGTAGTCCCTTTGCTGGTTGCGCTTTGGCTCGAGTCCAGCAGGGGATCCAAACGCCTTGGCTTCCGGCCAAGATTATTTGAGGCAGCATTTGAGAGGTACTGACCCCTCCACTGGAAAATGACCTGACCTGCTGAGACATTAGATTGTTTCCTTTGTCTACAAAAGCAGTTTGCCGAAGCATAAAGTGATGTATCCGCATGCAACCGGTGTTTTAACTTACTTGTTGTTTCAAAAATTAAGTCTAAAATAACTCCAGCCTCCCATTGTCGAGCACACTGCTGTCCAAGGTGCTGGCAACCAAAGGCATACTGTATCTTAGTGGATTTTGTTATAAGGGGGCTTGAATATTCAGCTTTAGAAGTTTTATATGAATTGATATTTGTGAATTGTTTTAAATATGAATTAAATAGTGACCATACAATAAAAGGGGTCTGAGTAACATCTTGAAGGCTTAAGGTTCAACATTTTGCGCCGGTTTTGGGCAGATGTGTTGTTTTTAATATTTTGTTATAGCTCCAACTGCGCCAACAATAAACAGATCCACCGGCTTTCTTACGGCACATTTATTTTAAATGACTAAAACGTTGTATTTCAGTTTCTCATCCGAAATCATTTTAAAACGTCGAGAAGTGATAAAATAGTGATTCAGAGATACTTTCAGCAGCTTCAAAAACGCCTGAAAACTAGATTTGTGATATTATATGTGGATCATTTTGCAAAAAAATTGTCAAAACTGGACACACCTCTTATTTTAGACCTTAACATCTCATAATATGATCTCATCTAAAATCAGGATTATGCAAAAAACATAAGAAATCAAATGAATGCTTGATAATATTAATTTAAATCGATTTAGTGTATTGTGCTTTTTATCCAAACATTAATGCCTATATGTTTAAATCCCCCCCTGGTTTTGTCTTACCGGTTTAGTTGGAGGTTCTGGTTTATATAATCGTTCTCCAGTCAAGAAGTCTATTTATTAGCATATTCAAGTTTTCTCCATTTCTTAAAAATCACCAACTTACAACACTGACATCCCATTGATATGGGACTATAGCTCTTCCTGATGTGTGCTGTTATCATTTATATATTGTGTGTATTATGTCATGTTTAGGGCGACAAATACGTGTGTTTTACGGATCCACAAGGGGTCGTTGTGGTTGTTGTGATGAAACCGACGGGTCAACATCCATCAGGGGTTATACATACTGTGTGCCTAATAGTTAAAGTAATGTTCAAGTTAATCTCAATAGATAAATGCAACTAACCCAATTAATAAGTGGTGTGCTCTTACACAGGTCGAGAATTAAGCTTTTTCTTTCAAACAGAAATATGACAAATGTAAAACAAATTGTGATGTTTGTTGGCATCATCAGAACGAATTCTTTTTCAAACAGCCTATTTTTCTTTATTTTATCTGTGTCTTTATCATCAGCTGCAGTTGACAATTAATTAGTTGTACATTCTTGTTTTTTTTTTAAATAATAATAATAATAATAATAATAATACATTTCATTATAATTTGATTCCTTTTTGAGTCAACATTGTGAGACCATTTCATCTGTTGGTTACTTGGGCTCTGGACTTTCACTTGAAGCTTGGTTAGAAGATCACTCTCCTCTGCCTTTGATTCATCCATCACTCCACAAGGACACGAGTCAACATCTTAACGTGATGCAATCAATCACTATTGATCCATGAATTCGTTTGACCAGCTTGGCTTGTTTTCACGCTGCCACCTTGTACCGTGGGCCGTTTAAAAAAAAAGTTCGTTATCCCTTTGTTTAGTTCAAGTCCGCTTTTGTTGACTTTCTATAATTTAACTCTCCACCTCGATGGCTTGACTCGAGTTTAGCTGCTTCCTCCTCTGCTGCATGAGGAAGACACCCCCCCCTCCATGTTTCATCTGGATTACCATTACAATCGTTTCTCTGCTACAGCAGCAAACCATCTCACTGATCGCAAGGAAACGAATGCACACATGATCAGAGACAAAATATTAAACGGCATGCAGTAAGTGAAGTCTGATTGCCAAATTAAATATATTGATCTATAATAAAAACTAAAACCAAAATGTACTTTAAATGGATGTTTTAACACAGGCAACTACAGTCTCCACCAGGTTTACTCTCTTCCTGCTGTCACCCCACCTTGAGTGTATGCAGGCCTGATGCATGTATTTTATGGAGATAAAACTAAATATTACACAATTCTGCCCTTTATAATGTCATAATTCAAGCCCTTTTTGGATATGGTAGTAATCATTTGGGGAATATCTGAATAAAATGTAGGTTTAACGTGATTTATACAGAAATATGCATCATTCTGCAACTATAAATACAGTTAATTTTAAATTATTTCAGTCACTGTCTTCCTTTGAGTATCACAGAAGCCTCGATGGGAATATCAGGATTTTTCGTTACAAGTGATTGGTCACTTCCCAGATTAGGGCCCTTCCATCACACAATATGCAATCTATCCTTGGGGACTATAATTGTGAATCACGTGGACGTGACCGAGAGTGTGTGGGGGGTTTGTTGGCTGAGAAATGGTCATTTGTATTGACCAACAGAGCTGACCACTGCAGGAGAGAGGAAAAGACAAGGATCGGCAGCCGTGAACACTGGGAGTAAACTGGCCCTCAAACATGGCAGAAGGTATGTTGGGAGCTTTTTTTGTGGAGTTATCTCTGGGAGTGGTTTCTTAAGGGGCTGGGTGTCCTTGCATTGTTTTTTAGATTTTTTTTTTTTTGTT